ATTCATTAAATCTATTAACCCTTTCTTTAATGTAAATATTAAGTCTTTTGAATCGATTTTGAATATAGGGGAATTTGCCCTAAATTTAATTCTAAATCCATTAAACAATAACCCCACTCATCAATGATTGGTGTAATACTCTTTGATAAATCTGCTTTAGGGTTTGAAAAAAGACTATTAATATTAACTAATGTCCCAATTATAATACCACCATATGGATTCGGTTCTGGGTGATGAGGTTCTACAGGACGAATGGGTTCTTTAGGAGGGATGAGTCTCTTTTTAATATCCTCTTGAGATTTTAATATGGGTTGAGTTTGTAGATTTTCCGTTAATCCGAGTTGTTGTAATCTGATAATTTCAACTTGGGTCTTTACTTTATTCTTAGCTTGGATATATTCTTTATTTCTTTTTAAAATATTATTCCAATCGTTACTCATTTCTAAAAAAATAAAATTAACATATGTCGATCATAACTCTTTCACCCGCGGGTTTTTTAGTATTTAAAAATACATATCCATGTTCATCTTGGTTTCTCCATTGACCTTTACAAACTTTTTTGAATGCATCTCTGTCCATTCCGTGAATTCAAATAATAAAAAACAATTTGCATTTTTTCTAATGAACATAGAATCCATCCCGTAAAAAAATTGGGATTGGTATATGCAGTGACAGTTGTGATGTCTTCCCTTCGTGAAGAATTCTTGTTGAACAGCTTGATTTCTTTGTCAAACAATATTAAGTTCTTTCGTTTGCTATCAATATTAGACAAGTCTAGATCATTAACATTTTTCGTAAGAAAAACTTTTATATCCGTTGGATTCTTTCCTTCGATGTAGTTATCTATAATATATTTTATTTCCACTTCTTCTTCGTTTTCTTCGAAATATTGAAATAGGTCTTGAACATCTTTCTTTGGTAGATATTCTAAAGCTTTGAGAAATTGATAATACGATTGCTGTTGTTGTGTAGATATACAAAGAATCGAAATCTAAAAGGTTTGGTGTTGTCAACATGTTAAAAGTTTTCCCAGAACCGGAACTACCGCATATACACATGAACTTTGGGTTATTTCTGAATGATTTTTTGTCCATTTTTTATTATTTTAATTTGTTCCAAAAATCACTCCTTCTCTTTTATACTTTGAAAGAAATATTCCTTCTCCAGTGTGTATATTTTTTAAAAATATTCCATTACCCTTATGTTTGACTTTGACTTCTCCCGTATCAATACTATCTACTAATTTATTTAATCCTTGTTTAACAGTTTTCTTGGTTTCTTCCCCAAATCTTTTTCCAAATTCTTTTATTGTGCCTATCATATCTCCCACTCCTGAACCTCATGCTTTCTTTTCCAGTGCTAAATTATGTGTACGTTCTTCAGCGGCTTTAGCATCATCTGCTTTCTTTGAGAGGACTGTTTTTGTTATTCTAATAGCCGCTGTAATACCACCAAATATTAAAGGTAGAAGGAAAGGTAAAAATCCACCTTCTTTTGCGTTCGCCTCAATTCTTTCTAAATCTATATCGTCTCTGACTTTACAGTGAGTTTTTTAGTTATGCTGATATTTTTACCGTTGAAAGTTATTACAGCTGGTGAAGCTGTTTCAATAGCTTCTATTATTTTCATAACTAAAGTTTCTGGTTTCATTTTTAAGGGTGTATTTTTTACTCAATTTTTTATTATTTTAATTTGTTCCAAAAATAACTCCTTCTCCTTTATACTTCGAAAGATATATTCCTTCTCCAGTGCGTTTGTTTTTTAAAAATATTCCATTACCCTTATGTTTGACTTTGATTTCTCCTGTGTCAATACTATCTTCTAATTTATTTAATCCTTGTTTAACAGTTTTCTTGGTTTCTTCACTTTTTCCAAATTCTTTCATTGTGCCTATCATTTCTCCCACTCCTGAACCTTTCTTTTCCGTTTTAGGTTTTTCAACCTCTGCTGCCAACTTTTCCATTTTTAAATTATGTCTACGTTCTTCGGCTGCGTTCTTTTCATCGGTGGCTTTTTTAGCAGCAGCCTCTGCAATAGCAGCTTTCTTTGCGTTGGCAACGCCTACTCCACCAGCTGCAGCACCAGCTATTGTACCGGCTGCAATAAGTCCACTAAATATTAAAGGTAGGGAAAATATATATCCACCTTCTTTTGCGTTCGCGTCAATTCTTTCTAAATCTATATCGTCTCTGACTTTACAATATTTGTATTTGTCAATAAGTTTTTTAGTTATGCTGATATTTTTACCGTTGAAAGTTATTACAGCTGGTGAAGCTGTTTCAATAGCTTCTATTATTTTCATAACTAAAGTTTCTGGTTTCATTTTTAAAGGTGTATTTTTTACTCAATTCTTATCATTCTTCTATCTGCTATTTTAATTAAATGTTTTGCTTCTTCCAATAATAAACAATAACCTGTTACATCTCCTTGTGTTTTTTCAATATGAATATTTATGTTGACTCCTGTTTTGAAAAGATCTTCTTGGTGAGCTGATAGATCAAAACAGAAGATTGGATGATTAAGTGCAAAATCTACATATTCAAACTGAGGTGGATTTCCAAATAATTCACACATGTTTTTATAGTTTCTATAAAATTCATTATAATCCTTTGTGGTTGGATTAATTGTTAAAGGTTGGCTAGGATAATTATCGTTGTTTAATCTTACTTGAACTTTATGGATTAAAGGATCTTGAGTTTGGTTCATTGCCACTCTCTAGATATTATTGTTATTCGTTTGAGAATCTGGTAAGTTCTTGAAACCAACCATTAAATATCTTGCTGGTTTAATAGTGTTAGTGATTGGCCAGGTGGTGGATTCTCCAGTCAAAGTCATGCTACCTACCGTATTACGATGAAGAAAAGCTATCTTTAGTTAATGAGTTGAATATTCTCGTTTCTAAACCAATTGATGGTGTTATTACGGGTATGAAAAGTTGGAGATTCGTTATTTCTAATTTTGCATCTGAACCATTCTCTCCAAAGAATATCTTACCATCGTTGATTCCTCTTTGTAGATGAATTTTATATGGTAACCCTATGGAAACTTTTCTATGTTCCAACAGACCGAATAAAGGATATAATTTCCAATTTACGTAATTACCCCACCTATTATTCTCAACAATATTATTGTACTGAAGTACTCGTTTTTCGAATCCATGATTAGCTGCTCGTGCTACTCTTTCTATTGTGTTTCGAGCAACAACTCTCACTCTAGCTAAATCAGCATCATTTGCAAGATTTCTTTTAAAACACTTCCATCGCCAACATCGGGTATCCAATCTGAGACTGAATCGAAATCTTTAGGATATAAAACTGTTTTCAACATTGTGTCGAATTCCCTAGGGTGTTTGATTGTTTCTATCGGATTTGAACCAGCTTCCAAAACCATCTCGCTAAATAAAGATGGAAAGAAATTGTTTTCTAACGTTGTATTAGTTTGAGGAACTTGATTCTGAGTTCCTTCTTTAATTTTGAAATCGTATCTGAAATAAGCATCGGAAAGAAGCAACCAATTCGATAATGAATTTATTTCGAAGGTAATTCTACCACCATCATTCAATTGGGATTTAGAACCAACAGTCGGTGAGATGATAATATAATTTTTTTTTTTTTGTTAAATGAATAAAGAATCGGATCATATAATCTAAAGATTGGATCTAGTATTTTATTTGCCATTTTTAAGGTTTAAAATTTGAGTAGAAAATTGTGGTCTGTTTAAAAAGAGTTATCTCCCTTTTTTCTAGAAGTTTCTAGACTAAAAATAACATTACTTAAAACGAGGCTATTAAAAATGTTATGTTATTTTTATATTGGGGTATTTTTAATATGCTTTTTTTTTATGGAATGTAAAATTGATTGAAGGTGTTTTTTGGTGTAGAGGGAGTTTAGGTCCTTTTTTTAGTGAAAGAATTTATGAAATGAAGGGTATTTTTTAGTGTAAGAATTTTATGAAATGTAGGTGTTTTGCTGTAAGAATTTATGAAATGTAGGGAGTTTAGGTCTTTTTTTTGAGCTTATATATTGGTCGCATTTTCCCCATGAAATGAAATGGAATGGGGAATTCCCGTGCGACCAATATATAAGCTCATACACTACTGTGTCATACTCACAAACATAAAACATGTCATACTCACAAACATAAAACATGTCATACTCACAAACATGTCATACATAAAACATGTCATACTCACAAACTTAAAACATGTCATACTCACAAACATAAAACATGTCATACTCACAAACATAAAACATGCCATACTCACAAACATTAAACATGTCATACTCACAAACATAAAACATGTCATACTCACAAACATAGAACATGTCATACTCACAAACATAAAACATGTCATACTCACAAACATAAAACATGTCATACTCACAGACATAGAACATGTCATACATAAAACATGTCATACATAAAACATGTCATACATAAACATGTAATACTCACAAACATAAAACATGTCATACTCACAAACATAAAACATGCCATACTCACAAACATAGAACATGTCATACTCACAAACATAAAACATGTCATACATAAAACATGTCATACTCACAAAGATGTCATACTCACAAACATAAAACATGTCAGACCCACAAACATAAAACATGTCATACTCACAAACATTAAACATGTCATACTCACAAACATAAAACTTTTAAAATATATTAATAAGGATTACAGGAATAAAAAATGAATATGCAATAGGAAATATTTGCTAAACCGGGAGTGACATATTACATAAGGTGCAAAAATTGGTTTGGACGCTATAGATGTTACTTTGGACCGATTTACCTCGGATTTTCTTTTTTATGTTCTCTGTAACAAGGTGTATTGGATGCAAAAGAAAAAAATTTGCTTGAAAAATTTCGATCTGAAATATACCGTAAATAGACAGAATGCGAGTACAAATAAAACTGCAAATCAAATCCCATTCACACAGAGCTAGCAAACACAACAGTCACTAACGAATAATATATAATTATTTACAAATGGAGGATTTTGAGTCGACATTTCTGGAGCGTAAAACTCATTCAATTTTGAGCTCGTGAACACTTAAAACTCGATAAATGCCGGATTGTGACAAAACGTGGTAATATTATTCAGTATCACGAAATATTTTCAATTAAAATTCAAGCTGGCAGGGGACGTATATTACCCTACCTGGCAAACTATCATAAGTTTTTGGAGAATACATTTCATAGATATACAACTGTTTATGATATATGTTATTGAAGAGGCAATGTGTTCTTCAGATAATTTTGATGGTTGCGTTGCTTATAATGTGTATTTCGGAACTATTTGTTACTGAAAAGGCTCATAAATGTTGAGGCTGTACTGTATTACCGACGACTAATAATGCTGTCCCAGCGCAAGTGTACGGAACGACAGTATTATCAATGACAATGTTAACATCCAACTGTTCCTCAGAAGAAGCGTTTGATATTTCTTTGATTCTTCCTCTTTTTCTTCGTGCATCTTCTTTTATTTCGCTTTTCTCTTTTCTCCTCTTTATACAATTTCTCGTTCTCTTTTGTCTTCGTGACTTCCAATTCCTCCTGCAAAATTCTCTTTTTCGGTCTTCTCCAAGCCTTGCAATAATCATCTGTTTTATTTGTATACGCCTGCTTAAACACAACATTAGTACAGTACCGGAATTCAAACGAATTAAGCATTAAATCGATGATGTACTGTATAGACTTCTGAAAGTTTTTGTCGCGTTTGTCATCAATGACTGCATGTCGACCATGGCTTTCATTGATAATTTGTTTTAATGAGGGTGTTGCTGATTCCAGAAACCTATAAATATAACTCTTGAAACTCTCTAATTTATCTAAAATACAAAATAACCAACAATCTTCAATATTTCATATTCTTTTTTGCACAATGTTCATTTGCAATCGAATTAAAATGCAGATATGTGTCTTTCGTTTCACACATACACGAGGTTCTGTTTATCTGAGAAAATTTTAACCTAGTTGCAACAATAGTTGTCCGAATTGATGCCTTTCCAATCAAATCTACTGCTAAAGGTAGCAAGAAAATACTGCTCGGTGTTGTGTTCTACAATGATTATCCCAGAATTTCTTAAATATAGCAAGGAAATCAAAGAAAAACAAAGAATTTGGTTGAACACAGGAGACCCAGAACAGTAGATGCTTGGCAATCTCCCTAGAACATGGATGATAAGTTCGAGTCAATCGCAGAGACAAAAAGCACAAAAAGAAAGAAAATATAAAATAAAAACTTAGTGTAGGTTTCTTCCCATAATTGCCTTGCATTGGGCGTCTTATCCTCATTAACGTTGGATACATGGTGCCGACTATGGAGACCGACCGCCATTTTATAAGAGGTCTACTATATAGCGCAATGTTAATTAAAATGCGCATTGCGGTCAGCTGGAGAGGTTTTCTTGCAAAACCAAAAGAGAAAACATTTTTTTTTAAGATCAAGATCTGTTTTTACAGGTCTAATAAATAAAGACCTGTATAAAAATATTTTATAAGCGTATTATTAAAATCTGATGCAGGGCCCTTCAAGCTCGTAGGCCTAAAACATATCACTGAGGTGAGGGACCTATTGCTGATGGCCTATTGAAACAAAACGAATCGAAATAACGAAATAAAATAGAACATCTGGGTTTCCTCCTTTTTTTTGAATAACGGGAAAATGGTAAAATTACGAAGATCCCTAAGATTCAACACTCGTTAAATGTTGTTGCTGGCCCTATCGCTGAACTTAAAAATAAAATTTCCATTGAAAATAAAAATGCATTTTTGTATTTATCAGGTGTTAAAGCGAAATTAGAATACATGCCTGTACCTAATAGATGAAATGTGGACTGTAGCCTACAAGGAAATTATATTTTAGTATTTTTTCATAAAATTAAGCGAAATATAAGACAACTATATTCAATATCATTGATTAGCCTATTCGCCAAGACAGTATAGACAACTACTCTAGAACTCGGATTTTGTACCAAGGTGGTAGAGGCGTAATTCGTGGACGCGGAGCGATGCGTCGCCTACGAGCTGGGGGCCTAACTCGGTGAAAATTTAATCAAAAGCCCAGAGAACTCAATCTAAAGATTTACACCTTATCACTTAGTAGGAAGACACTGCAAATTAATCAATTTCGACTGAGCTAAAGAGGGGTTGATGGGGTTCAATTCTCACTTGCTAGTCCCAAGCCCGTGGACCCAACCATAACAGAGCTGCTCTTAAATGAACCGCAGGACATCCAGAGTATATATCAGTTAAAGGAGTCCCCAACCCAATAGTAAAACGTAAGAATGCTACCGAGGGATTAATT